TGCATATCATATGCTGATGTTGTTAACTTGAATCCAAGACAATGAGATTCTTTATAAGCTAAATTAGTAAGTGCTTACTGATGCACCATTGTACAATTGGAAGCAAGAAACCAAAAGGATTGCAAGAAAAGTGATGCACTCTTCTGCTTCAAGGAAGAATATCAGTCGCCAATGCTCCAGTTCACTTTTATGACTGTTTACTTTTGACTGTTTGATGTGAATTCCACTGGAACATCATCCATATTATGGATGTGCCTGAAAATACACGATTCAGCAGTTTAATTAACTAATTGATCTTTAGAAATATATGGAAATATTGATAGAAAGAATTTTGGTGGAACATCAACAATGTAGTGCACCAGGGAGGAAATTACTAAGAGAATTAGCGCACTGAACCGATAATTCTACCTAACATTAGAGGCCACAAGTACAAATAATTAAAGCAACTTTTACTTCACACATGAGATCGTCAAACGAGCTAAGATACTAAGGTATTTCAATAAGTTCAACAGAATCCTCTCAGCATTGTATCGGAAACAATGCGTAGTTCTCACCTCATGGCAAGCATGGCAATAGCAGTATTACACAGAAAACCAAATTAGGTTACTATTAGATCCTAAAGTTACCAAAGTATCCATCTCTCTTGAAACATAAGAAATCCTAATTATAAAATGGAAACGGCTTATTAGAATGAAACAACAGAATACAGTTATAGTGCAGCCAAATGCAGTGTCATTTTTATTTATTTATTTATTATTATTATTATTATTATTATTATTTTATTTATTATTATTTTATTTTTTTTGGGTGGCATTGTGCATCTGTATGATAATAGCATCTGCAATTCCAACTTCAACATCCTTATTACAATTAATAACAAGAAAACGATGCAAAAGAACACTTAAAAACACGTCAACAGCGACCAAATAAACAGCAGTACACTATCATCAGATCATGCACATTGTACAACCGTTTATGTATTCCCATCAACCCATGTCCATGGCCTTCATATTTCACCAGAAATATAGAGACTGCCAACTGTTAAGCTATCTATTATCATTGTACACAAAAATGGTATTATAGCTTCTAAATCACCTTTTAATGCAAACATAGGATGGATAAAATTTTCTGCTCACTATAGGAAATGCAATAGCAAAAACAAAGCCATGCATGACACAGAACAATATCAAGATGACATTCCAAACAGGGAATAATCATACACGACTGAGTAAACAAATAAAATTCATTTATTTTGACAGCATTACCAGCAAAAATGCTAACAGTTGACAGATTTCCAATAGCCATAGTGTGGTAAATGAGGTACTCGGTCAAGAAATGGCCAAAAGCATAGATGAAGGATAAAAAGGTTGCCAAATACAGAGGCTTGTTGTCAAGGTTGAATGCACAGAGAAAGCATAGAGTGCAAGTCAACAAAGTCCAAACTCCAAATGTCCGTCCATGAACTTCAGTCACTACAACGTACAAATAAAACATGGAAAAGCTTCATTATGAAAATTTTCGATACAGATAAATTGAATAGAGAAATCTTAATATAAATGCCAGAACATTGCAAAGATCCACTTAGAAATCAAAAAAGCATGTGATGCAAGGATGCATTAATTCACTAGCTAATATAAAAATCCGTCATTAGAGGATAAACTTTTGAGTGATTTGTGAACCTCATTCGTACACATTCTTTCATCTCCAAATGATTGCTCTTAGGGTTCACTTCGTGTATTAGCATGACCAGAAATGAATTCAAGTCTCACAGCAAGTAGTTATAAGTTACATATGTTAATTACACTATAACTTTGAGGATTTGAAGAAAACG